GGCTGTCGGTACCGGGGATGGTGCAGTTCACGGAGATCTCCCCCAGGCGTGGTGCGATGGCTTTCACCAGGTGGTTCTGGATGGCATTGTGGCACAGCTGCCAGGCTCTGGAGTGGGGTTTGCAGCTGCACAGGATGTGGGGCAGTGTCTCGTTGGAGTAGCCACACTTCCTGCAATGCTTGTCTCGGTTCCCATGGCGGACGGCTCCGTTGAGCGGGACGCAGTTGAGCCGGGCACAGTGGATGAACCGCCAGTTGGCGAAGCGGGTGAAGCCGCCCCCGGTGAGGAAGTGGTTGCTGGCGTCCCACTTGCTGGTCAACTCAAAGGCTTTACCCTAGTCCGGTTTACGCTTCAGGGTTTTCATGTACAGCGAGTGGATGGCGGCCTTCAGAGTCCTCTCCAGCAACCCCCTGGCGCTCGGGGTGACTATGGTGTTGTCGGACCTGATCTGCGGCACCCGGACTCCCAGCTTCCGGTGCTCCTCGCACCACTCCCAGCAGCAGCCGATGCACTTCCCCAGGCGACGTGTGGCGTTGCGAGTGTGGGACCACAGTGAAGCGATGTCACGCCCATCCCGTCCGAATTTCCCATCCAAAGAGCCGCTCAGGAAAGTGGCGATGTCTTGGTTGGAGGGGGCTCTACCGATCTGCTTCTCTGTCGCACCACACAGGGCGTTCTCCGTGATGTTCCTTACCATGGCGTCGGGACATGTCAGCAGGCGGAAGGCGTGGGTGATCACTGCGACGTAGCACAGGTCACCCATGCGGGGGACGTTGGCGCCGCCGTGCCTGTGAGCGATGTAGACCAGCTCATTGCTGGCTCTCTGGGGAAGGAACAGCCATTTCTTCACCAGCTGCCGGATGATCTTGTCCGCCTTGTTGAGGGGCACCTTCGCCACGGCGGATCCCCTTAGGGTGAACGAGATGCATGGGATCAGGAAGGTGTTCAGGGCATTTATCTTCTGCCACTGTGCCAGCAGGGAGGCATCAATCTTGGCGGCGTCCTGCAATATCTCCTGGATGGTGTCCTCGGGTGTCTGCTGGACACGGAAACCTGTTAGCGTGCCCAGGTGCTGGTATGCCTGCCCCTCTGCTAGGGGGATGATGGGCTCACCCTGGATCTGGAACCCCGTTGCCTGCACCAAGTCCCTTTTGCTGCCGTCAGTGTGCAGAGTTGCACACTTCTTCACATTGAAGCGGAGCCCCATACGGTCAGTAGCTTGGCTGGTGGCGTCTAGCATACCTTGGAGGCTCTCTGGGTCATCCGCGGTCGGGACCAGATCGTCCACGTAGGCCAGAATGCTGATTTTCTGTGGATTGTCTTCCAGGGAGCCTGAGAAGTATTTTGGTCTCTGCCTTGGTACAATTCACAAACAGGTTGGCTGAAGGGAGGCCGAACATGTGAATGATGAGATTAAAAACCACCTGATTCAGGCATCACTCGGAATTATTGAGCCGGCACCTCCCAAGCCAGCCTGCATATTGGTTCAGATCACCTTTGTTGTGGATCACTCTGAGGGAAAGAAGGAACGATTCTGCCCACTTTATTATTTCCATTGCTTCCACATGTAGTGCTGGACTCCTTGTTTCCCCCTTTAAATATGCAATCATATTGTCTGATTGAACTAGAACATCGTTCCCCCTCTCAGCTCTAGGAAGTTTTGCTATGAGCCTTTTCCTCCTGGTTCCATAGGCTCTGGGCTCTTTGGGTCTCCAAGTGAGCTTCCCAGCCTTCCACACTGGTGTTGGCTGCTTGGACTAAAGGAGCTGGAAGGCAGATGGGCACGCCTTTGCAGATTGTCGTGGGCTGACCACTATTGTAAGGAGTTGAACACCTGTGCTGAAACTTATATTTGATCTTTCTTGTGTTCCGTGGTGTGATCCCACACCTCTAGTATGAAACCTTGAGACTTCTGATGCATGATTGTGCCCATGGAGATCCATATGCACGACACCACAAGTTCTAGCAGTTGGAGGCACAGTGCTATAGTAGCTCTGGAGCAAGAAAATAAATTCCTGGGTGAAACTAGAGAACTTTTCTTGGCATTGAAGCTGGGTCCTGGAGAAGATTTCACATTCAAGATGTGACCTTTTGAGCTGCAATGGAGCTTTGATCAGATGTCATCCAGGAAGGGGTACAGGTGAGTTTCCTGTGACCTGAGTCTGGCCATTATCACAATCAACATCTTTGTAAAAACCCTGGGGGCTGAGGAGAGGCCAAACAGGAGTGTTTGTTATTGCCAACATTTCCTGCTGTTTGCAAACTACAGAAGTCTGTGCAGGCGCAGTCTGATGGGAATATGGAAATGTGTCATCTGGGTCAACTGAAGTCAAGAAGTCCCTCGTGGGACAGGTATGATACTGTAGAGGCCACAATCTCCATTCAAAACTTTTTCTTTATCCACTTGTTGCTTTTGAGATAGAGAATGGCTCTGATACTCCCCATTTGCTGCCGTACAATGAAGAAGATAGAGTAGAATCTGGAGAACCTTTCTTCTGAGGGAACCCACTCTGTCATTCCCATATCCAAAAGATGAGATATTTTGTTCTGCATCAGACTGTTTTACACGGCTATTGGAGCTGGGTGATTGGATGAAGAAGGGATGGGTGGAGCCTGCAGCTCAAGGAGGTTGGTCTCACTCACTATATCCGTGACCCATTTGTCTATGGTCGGTGAAAACCATTCTTCTAGGAAATGGGAAATCCTGACCCCTAGCTTCAGCTCTTGGGGGAGCCTATGCAATCTTTGTCATAAAGTGGATTTGGGAGGGTTGGAGACTGAGGTCCCTCTGGAATTTCCCCTGGTACTTTGATTCCAGTATTTTCACTCAGGGAATTTGTTGCCCCTTCGCTGGTAAACGATAAACCTGGTACCTCTGTGAGGATGAGGAGCAAAAGGAGTGCCTCTGTCTGAATGCTGGTCTATTTTCTATTCTGAGGACCCTTAGTGAGGAAAGGAGAGACTGTTTGTTTGGATTTTGCCATCTTGTCAGCCACCATCTTATCCAGTTTTTCTCCAAAAATGAGGGTGCCTGTAAACTTGGCTGAGCATAGGACCTGCTTAGAGTAAGTATCCATCTTCGAGGGTTGAAGCCATAGGCGGTGCCTGGCTACTGAACTGGAAGCCATGGCTTGGGCTGAAAACCTCATTGCATCCATTGAGGTGTCCGCTACAAAGGCTGTTTCTGGGAAGACTCTTGAAAGTGGAGCCAAAGTCAGGGTCATCTCAAAGCCCTTAAGAGCAGATGTTCCAGCCAGGCAAGAGATGCTCCTGCAAAGTGGGTAACTGCCAGGAACACTCAGAAGGTGGCGGAGGAGGCTTCAGAGCCCTCTTTGTGACTGGCTTCCATCTTTCCAGCCTTGGGGTCCTTAAGGTAGAACTCTCCTTTTGAGGAAATAATCATATTTTTGGCAAGGGATGCACACAGGTGTCAACCTTTGGTGTCCCTTTCATTCTTGAATGTAATAGAGCCTGAGATTGCTCTTGTTAATGTGCTTGCCCTTATCAGGCTTGTTCCATTCATCCCTAATCAGTTCCTCAAGGAGTGAAGCGATATTGCAGCCTCAAGGGAGGATTTTGAAGGGAAAAATTTATTCTAAGGCTTACTCACAGGAACCTGCTCAGGTTTCAGAGCCAGATAGCTCACCTTCCTCAGTTGAGGAGGAGGAGGAGGAAGAAGAGGACTCTCATCTCCTGGATTTTTGTGCTGTCTTTCCCTTTAAAATTTTTTAAACCTTTTTAGCGTGCTTCAGGAGTATAGAAACTCTGCAGTGGCTTTGGTGAGGCCTTTTGTGGCTTGCTTCCTTAGGGTCTGGAGCCCTCTTGAGAGATGTTTCAGAGCCCACCCTGAAAGGTGCCAACTTGTAGTCAGAGCCCTCCTGATCTGCTTTGGGGGGGGGGGTTAATTTAGAAGCCCTGCTTCTTTTTCCAGGATGCTCAGGACCCACTTTAAGTCTTGTGGGCAGGACTGGTGACCCTGCAAGCCTCCCCTCTTCGTTCTGCAGGGGCCCCCTGGGACTTACTCCATGAGTCCAGTGGTCAGGGTCCTCCTCACTTTTAGAGCCTCTCCCTGCTGTGCACTGGGGTTCCTGGTCCATTTTTTCCACATTAGAGTTGTGGCTGCCTCAGTGGGTAGGGAATAGGGATGCAAAATGTTAACCAGTAAGCATTAGTCTAATTGGTTAACCCGCCTTAACCATTAACCCCTCAGCCCCAGCCGCAAGGTGCGCTGGCTGGTGCTGCCCCAGCCCCCTCCCTTTAATCAGTTAACCATTTAAACAATTAATATCGTTTAAACGGTTAACTTTTTAAACTATATTTACATCCCTAGTAGGGAACCCCACTTGCCTGTTGGACTCGTAACCCAGGGACCTAATGGAGTTAGGGGATGGAAGGCTGGGTACAGGCTGGGCCCAGCTTGCCATCTGCCAACCATGGGAAAACTGCCTGACAGCACCTTTTGAATTCGACCTGGTGCTTTCTTGGCTGCTCTGCCATGCCTCTATGGGTCACAGGCGCTGGCAGAGACTCAACCCTGAAGGGTTAACCAACCCAGGGGAGGACGAGGAATGCTGTGGAGGAAGAATACTGCTCCCCACTGCCCAAAAAACTGGGCACAAGAGTTAAGATAGAAAGAGTAAGGACAGAAACAAAACAAACCACCACTGTGTGGTGCTCCAGAGGCAGAGAATCTGGAAGGAAGCAGAAGAAGAGGCATGGTCAGACCACATGGCACCAAAACTCTGATGTGTCTGTGAGCTATAGAGAGAGAACTGCCTAGACAGCTAGAATTGTGGGAGATGCTGGACACAGTAGCATGTTTCCCTAAAAACTGACAACGGCATTTGTGCATGTGTGCTTATGTTGTATCGAGGATGAACATTCTATAAACGGATACATATACTGACCTTCTCTCTTCCCTCAGTGTTACTGCTGTTCAGGTAAATCTAGTATTAGGAATTGCATTGTAATAGTGATTTAATGTAATTCTGTTTTAACAGGGAAGGAAGACACTCCATCACTCCTTGGTCTCTGTGGTTCTCTGACTTCTGTAGCAAGTTATAAATCTCTTACAAGTCTGAAATCAAGTGAATACCTTGCAAGTCCTACAGCAGAGATGACAAGTCCAGGTCTAACTCCATCTTGAGCAGATATACATAACAGGAAGAGTTTTTGTGTTGTATGCATTCAGTTTACATGCCATAATTTGACTTGCTGTGAAGACTCTTAAAGGTTCAAGCAAGCTAAAGAATATGCTGCTTTATTTTGTCCTTTTTTCATAATGATCTATTTAAAGAAAAGTCACAAAACTTACATCCATTGTTTGTCATGCTTTTCTTTAAAAGGATTTTTCCCTTACCCTTTGAGATCTTAAATTGTTTAAGAATCCTAGTCAGGTACAGAATGTATGTATGATTTAGTAACAAATGATTACCTTTTAGAATGAAATATATGAATATCAGTCTTCTGCTAAACAGTCGTGATCTATGTTCCACAGGCTCTTAACTAGAGCACTTCCTTGCACTGCTCTGCATATTTGTCAACACTTGCAGAAGAGACAGGGAATAAGTCTTGGCAGGCTAGCAAAGGAATATCTGAATTCCAGTTTACATTATATTACAAAACATTGCTTGTTTAAATATCATATTTTAATCTGCATATGTTCTATTATGTAGGATCTGAAATAACTTATTTAACCTGTTAGATGTTTTGAAATACTGACAGGTAAGTGTTAAACTTGCATTCCCATTATGCCACTTAGAGAGTTAATTTTTATGTTCAGATAAGGCCATATTAAGAAACAGTATACATCCCTAGGTTTTGATAAGGGAACAGAGTAACAAATCTTATACGTCAGGATTACTTCCAACTTTTAAGAAGGGATTAGGAGGCAAGTCACCAGGTGATCATGGGACCGAAATGAGGAAGAACTTTGCAGGTAGAAGGGGCATCTTAGTTACTTGCTTTTTGTTACTGACTTATGTTAATATAAAGGTGGGGGGAAACATGGTGATGTCATCACCTTAAAGCTTTGGGGAAAATTTCCCCCCCTTATGTCCATTGTAAAGGATCTCAGGAGTAAAAAAGGATTAGAATGGAAATTGATAATTTAAATGATAATATTCTCATGCTCGTGTGTTTCCCCCCCCCCCCATGAAAGAGTTTTGGATAGGTATTTTTCTTGATTATGCTGTGCAGTAATACTTAAACAGAAGTGAATCCTTTAAAATTCTATGCCTCTAATTAAGCTACTGATATGAATTACCTGAAAACATTTTGAAATGAAACTAAACTTTACATCTTCCCAGTTTAACTCTCACCTTTAAAGTTTGCAAATTAATTTTTGAATTGCAAACTGTATTCTAACACTGCAAACTGTATTCTTATATCTTTGTAAGATGTAACGAGTCCTTTATCTATGAATTTTGCTATTAAGGTAATGCTCCTCAGTATCTTTAAAAAAATATTAAATGCATGTAAGTGTGTTGTATTTATTAATCAAGGGGAAAATGCTTTGTTGTGCCAAAGAAGTTTCAAATATTGTTTACATGAGTGGCTTCAGTACTAATAAGGTTATTTAATTACAGCATACTTTCAGATAGATTTTTGTTTACAGTCAGATACTGCATTCTGTACTCTTTGCTTTATTTATAGTTGCCAGAGAAATGTACCTCTTGTAATCTTACCCTTTGGACTACTAGTTTTTCAAAGGGTGGGATAAAGAAAAACAGGCAATCTAATCATTCTTGTAAACAGAAGAATGCAGGAATGTTGCCTTGATAAGCATGTGAAATTACACATTTTCAGAACTGACTAACCCACTCTAATGATCTCTGAAATAAAACTTAATTAAAACAGTAGTGCTCCTTTCCTAAGGTCTACCAGAATGACTATTACGACATAAAGTAATGTCCTGGTTCTTGCACTAAGAACATGCTCTCATGGCAGTTCAGTAGCTTAATTGAACAGTATTCATTAAATATTAATTTCTAAACTAAAGATGCATTTTTAATACAGTGAGGGAAGCAGGATTCCATAAAGTTAACATTACTGATTTGTGTACAGTAACTTGAGCAACTTGTGCTGTTTTAAACACTTCTCCCAGTACATCACTGTTTGGCTATAATCATGATTTTCTAGTCATGTCAGCAGATAGCTCTGTTGGAGGAGCTGCTATAAAATTCATCTGTCATGTAATTTAAGTTTTATGTAATCTTTCACACTAGTATTAGTTTGTAAATGTCAATGTTTGTGCATGAGGAAGCTCATTGTATGTGTGTGTCAGTTCTAAATGCTGTCCATTTTTCAGAAATATTTGAACAAAAATAAATGCCAAAATTGTGTGTATTTTGTTGCTGTGCTATATTATAACTGTTGCATGTAAATTAAACATTTTGTATCGTTGCCACTACTAGCTCGTCTCTGTACTTTTCTAATCAAGAAGCGTAAAGTAAGATCACTAATGCACTAGTATCATGTGAGCATAAAGCAATTTAAATTTGTTCTAATATTCCTAAAGAAGTGAAAATTAACACATTACTTCATTTAAGGTCTTCTGAAAGTCTAAACAACGAATATACATTTCCTTTTAGCATGAGTGATATGGAGACTATAAATTAACCCCAAACATTTAAATTATGCTTTGACTTGGAATCTGTGCTAGCAAAAAAAAACAGTATAATACATCACCTTTTTTTAAAAAAAGATAGCTATTCTAAACTATAGAATACTATCTTTAACACTTGCCTCAAGGTGTTGGCTCTATTCCCAATTTTTATCTACTAAATATTCCCTGCTTTCATCCATTAAATTGAAATGCCGCTAACAATGCACCAGTATTTTCTATTTACGTAATTGCTGTAGTTGGCGCAAGGACCTTATACAGTCATGAATGGGAGAGAAGGAAATCCATGAAATCGTTTCATATGTGATCCACGTTATGAAAGTCTGAACTCCTGGGTTATACTCAATTGATAAAGGAAGGAACTTGATCTTAACCTTATGTTTTGAATGTGAGATTTTCTGACATAGAAAGTCTCCTTAATAAAAGTACTTCATACAGGCAAAATGAATCTTTTGAAGTAAAGAAAGGAACACCTAAGCTTACATTTGAAATGAGAAAATGGTGGTTCAGTGGGCTCCAAAGAAAAGCTAGGTATTACCATAAAGTATCATTGAGGCTAAGAGTTTGACAGGATTTAAAAACGTATTAGGTAATCACAGGCTTGTCTACACTACCCCGCAGTTTGGATTAGAGAGGTGTTAACAGCACTGTGGGTCAAAGTGCTATGCTCTAACTCCCCTGTGCGGATGCACACTAAAATATTACTACTTCGCATTAACGTAATCCTCTTCAGACAGGCTTACATTAATGCAAAATAGGAACCTTTTCATTCACACCTGCTGCATCCACACTGGGAAGTTGAAGTGCAGCACATTGACAGGCATTACTGTTCTCACCTCTGTAGTCCAAACCGCAGGGCAGTGTAAACCTAGCCTTAAGTGAATGTCCACAGTCCAATTAGTTAGGATAAAAAAAAAAGTGTTTTAAACATGTGCTTCAGACATAAATTAACCACTAAGACAAACTTTTCTTATTTTACAAATATCCACTGTGGCATTTCTTGCCCTTTCCTCTAAAGTACATGTTGTGCCACAATAAACAATATCTCAAGCTATGGCGTAAGAGCTTTCAAAGCCAAGATGCTCCAGAGGAAGGCATAAAACTTTCATGCAGTATTTATGCACTATATTATAAATAAAATTGAGCACAGCTTGTGGAGCCATCTACATCCTGAAGCATGAGGGCTGAAAACTATTGCACTGTAATTGCAAATTCTACTCATTCACAGTCTAAATTCTTTAAGTTTCTAAGAAATTCATCTTGATCAAGTGGCATTACATAATTGAATTATACACATCACAAAAAGCATTTTTCTTTCAGTGTTAAATCTGCCTTCTGGTTTAATCTTATGCTTTCATTGTTCTGTGCTTTCAGGGCAGCGATTCTCTTTTCTGTATTTGTACAACACAATGCGGCCTCAATTTCAATTGGAGCCTTTGGATGCCATTATAATAAATATTTAACAAGTGGATTCCTAACCTTTTTGCTAAAAATCCTTTGGCATTCTAATAGTTGGACGGAGGGCCCTTATCTCCCCTCTTCTGTGCACTTGCACAATTGTAATACTTATCTTCCTTGTCCATTTTGCATTCTATTTTTGTTTTAAACTCCTATTCACCAGAAGGCAACATCCTGCCTGGGCCAAGAGCATCCAGAATTAACTCTTTTGGGCAGGGTTGCCTGTTCTTTCATCCAAGAAGAGTGTAAAGACAGATGATAAACACCCTTGATGACTCAGGGCTTTGGCCTTTTGAGGCACTAGTCATTGTGACTCCATTTCCCTCCATGCCTCCTGGATAGCCTGTGACCTCAACAATAAGAGTTTGTTAAATTATTTAAAAACTATGGGCCTGTCACAGTGAAGTAAATGGCTGTTTTATTTGTGATCATGCCTCTAGTTTTCAATTCATTACTAAAACCAACTATAGCAGAAGGACAGAATAGGTCCTTCCTATTCTGTCCTTCCAAAACTAAAATAAAATATAGCGGAAGGACAGAATAGGTCATACTGGTGGGGGAGTGGCACTATCTGTGAAAGGAAATCTAGAGACAAATGAAGTAAAAATCTTAAATGAACCAAACTGTACCATAGAATCTCTATGGATAGTAATTCCACGCTTGAAGAATATAGAAGTAGGAATATACTACCAACCACCTGACCAGGACTGTGAAATGCTCAGGGAGATTAGAGAGGCTATTAAAATAAAAAAATAATAATGGGGGATTTCAACTACCTCCTATTGACTGGGTACATTTTATCTCTGCATCCCATCTGGAGGTCATGTTTCTTGACACCTTAAATGACTGTTTCTTGGAGCAGCTAATCCTGGAACCCACAAGAGGAGAGGCAATTCTTGGTTTAGTCCTAAGTGGAGCACAGGATCTGGTCCAAGAGGTGAATATAGCTGAACCGCTTGGTAATAGTGACCATAACATAATAAAATTTAACATCACTGTGGGGATGGAAGAACACCACAAAAATGAGGAAGTGAGTTAAACAGAAATTAAAAGGTACAGTGCCA